TCCTGTAGATTCAACGGTTTAGGAGTAATTAAGGAAAAATGAAATTTTTTGCCAAAAGTTCGCCGTTTCGACGCTGGGATGGTCGGATTTTGTCAACATCAATAAAATGCCAAATAAACATACGTAACTCATTAAATATCGAAATTAGAAGAAGAATGCACTATTTTTAATTATAGGGAATGCGTTTTTCTAAGGTACATAAACTTTTGGGATTGACTATATAGCCAATACATCCTTAAGAAAACATTCCTTCAGAGCCCGTTTACAGTGAATCGACCATCGTAAATGGCCATCATTTCGAACATGTATGAAATACATTTCATACCTTAAATGTGATACGTTTTCTCCGACCGTGACCTTGAATAATTATAGTCACTGAATTTCTAATGAAAAGGACTTAAAGGGGTTTAAAAAATGGCGGTTTCATTTAAATAAATCAAGGTGACCTTCATATCTCTAAAAAAAATGACGTAAATACAAAAATATTTTTGGTATCGTGTGAACTGAACACCCACTGAACCATTTAACTTAATTCTTAAAACTTTTGACGTATCTCTAGAAACAACAAAGATATTTGAGGTGCAAACGTTAGGTGACTCACCCTGTATTTAAGATCGCTTCGCATTTACTTAGATCCCTGTTTCCTGTATAAGACAGAGATTAGAAATATGGGATAAACGGGGATGGCAAATGCTTAAGACGATCTTAAGAACAAGCAACAATACTGAATACTGGCCAATAAGTATTGTGTAATCAGAGAATTCTCTTATTTACTTTAAATAGAGAAAAATTCGGTTTTTTCAATATTTGTTCACGTTTAATAAAGTTGGGCAAATATCCACGTTCTATATTAAATTCTGAGAAATTTCTCCGTTTCGATCCGGTGGAACAATTCTAGAAAAATGTGTGAATCAACAATGAACAAAGGGCTTTGTATGGAAACGTGAACCTCTAATTGCGAGCGCGTGGATGCTGGAAACGTGGCAATAGCATCGCGCAGGCTCCTCTCCAGAGCGAGGCAGGACACTCCGAGAGGGAGAGTAAAGGATCCTCGTGAATTTTCATCAGTAACCCCGTGACCGCCAAACCGTCTCTGATGTGCGACTTTTATGTTACATCTTGGCATTTCTCGTGGCTATCCCTCGAATAACCTGTTGCCCAATAAATAGCCAACCAGGGACCCCGTTACCACCTCTTACACGTATTCATTATCATATTCAATTGACCATTTTCCAATGGAACATTCTCTTAACATCAATTTTTAAATTGTGATATTTCATTCATCATTAAATTTCTGATTGAACTGTGACCAGTGTCATTTGTCGGTTGATAAAAAATTCGTACAATTTGAAACGAAAGTTCTTTAGTGGTGATTGTTGAGTTCGCCGATATTCAGGATAGAATTATGAAAGGCGGCTTGTAATTTTGTTCCATTTTTTCCTCGCTGTTATCGTTTCGTAAGTAACCTGTTGCGTAGCAATTCATTCAGAAGCAATCGCATCAGTGAAAGTCCTCCGCGCCTTCTGTTTTGGTGTCCCTCTTGTGAAACACTATATGATATAAAACGTGAACGAGAACTGAATTTCGATTCAAAAATTGGATTCGACCAAAGAAATCAACACGGTGAGTATATTTTGATTAATTTTTGCTTGAAGTATCTTTAATCGTGGAAGTGAAATGTCTGCGGTTCATCGAGAAAAGAAGCTGAACGATGCATTGATGTCGATTAAAGTCGGACATTTTTTTGTCCTCGAATCCTCAATATTTTCACGTTAATTCTCGTTGGTTAAACAAATAAGAAAATCATATATTTGATAAAATATTTAATAACTTTTCGCCGTAAATGATGGTCTATTTGTATACTTCGATAAATGCATTGAAACTCGCAATGTTTACTATAAATGATGAACGCGTATGATGGTACAAATGCACGGGCAATACATATGGAATTCTTGATTACTCGGTTCGCGTTATAGTTCTTACAGCACCGAGCGACAAATTAGCTCGTTTATCTTGCTGAAAGGTAGCGTATAAATATTGCAAAAGAAGAATTACGAAAACGAATGAATCCATTCCATCCTCGTGTTCAATAGAAGCAAGGAAAGAGGGATCGGGTCCCTCCGGGAGATCCAAGCCAGACTTCCTTTAAAATATGCTTTTTCACAATATCTGGCGATGGCAGATATAAAGTTATTTTTCGATATTTCGTAGAGATAAACCGTCGCATAAGCGTCCCTCAAAGGGGATATTTATTTATTAAAATAACCGAAGTATCTTTATATTTGAAAGCCATGTCTACGTTTTCCTCTTTCAAGATAAATTCCGAAATTAATTAAACGCACGAAAGAGAAGCTTCAACTTATAGATAATATAATTTATTTCGGCCATCTGGATCCAGAAATGGACTAGGAAAGTACAATACTATTGCCTCACACATACACGTATCAACCTTATAAATTCTGAACAATAACAACAAAATAATCACATTTCTATTTGTACATTAAGCTTCAATTTATAAAAGAAATAAGAGAATCTCTACAAAATAATACTACGTCGAAAGTTCCGAAGAAACTTGCGCTCGCATAATGGTTCATTGAAATTGTTAAACGCCGGAACCACTCCCCTGTTCGCTCATTTAAAAGTATTCCCATTACTTTCACAAACTGACAAATAAACGTCCTTAAAAGGCCTGAAACGACTTCCGGTTCCTTTGAGAAGAAATTGTTTGAATTTATTAAAACTGCGCCCACTCTTGATTTTATGAACGATTCATAAACAAAATAACACAAACATAAAAAAATAACGAATCATTGAACACTTATGTTAAATATCCTCGAACGTGAAGCAATAAACGGTCCGTTTATTACGGAATCTGAGATATAGCCAATTCTAGCCGAATAGGTTCCCATGAAGATTTATTTATTTCCTGGCCCTCGGTCCTCGGGGACGTGATTCGTGTGCCATAATGATCGAGCCAAGCAAAGGCACTCGATACTGACCGACCGCGAACAACCGGGTACTTCTTCGCCACGTAACTTCAGTCGGATCAATAAGTTCACCGAGGACACGTGTGCCTTTCCCTTATTGTCCCTACGTTCTTTGACAAACTCAGTCATTTCCAACAGTTTAGTCGAAGGAACAATGCTTTCAAAAACAATTCTTCTTTTATTCGATTCGTCGCACTGCAAACTGACGTGGGATTCCCATCGAATGAAACGTTAGAGAACCTTCTTTTAGAAGAATTGAACGATCACATGGTCGATATTGGCATATGATAGAAAACGCTATCTCATGAGGATGATGGATGGAAACGAGATCTCGGAAATGTTTGATGACTACCACGATTTTTTTTCGCGTTTTCATGACTAGAATAATTTAACCCTTTTAGTGCCAAACGACGATGTATCGTCGCTTATCCGATGACGCCTATTCGCATTGCTTAACTTTTAAGTTAACTTAAGTTAAGTTCAACTTTTTGTCATATTTTATGCTGATTGGTGCCGAGATACGCTGGAGCGATGAGGTAGAAACTCGACACGGGACAGCTTCTTAGAAACGAAATCGCAACATGTAGGTGGCTGATACTTATTTTGTTAGAAAATGTAATTTCATACTATGTGATTTATATTTCATACTATGTGATCTATATAAAACTATGATTCAACGATGATTATTCTTATGTACAAATATTGTTTGTAGAAGAGAAACTCATTTCTATGTTCTTCATCACGTTTTATATTGATGTTATTCGTATGATTTTCAACAAATATTGAAGTACAATTGGCATTACCTTATTCTTTCTTTATTTCGTAATATGTTGCTCTTTGAACTTTGAAAATATCATTCTTAGTTTGGTTTTTAGCTATAAGTTAATTTACATTCATTTATTTTCCCAAACCTTAACAAATTCGTCAAAGTGGCCCTTCACATAAGTACTATACTTTTGCTCGGCACTAAAAGAGTTAAGTGAAAGAAAACGCGTCCGGTCACTAGTACTTTCCCACGAACAACCGTTCAAACTGATATAGAAATTCGTGATGTATTCTGTATAAACTCGTCGAAGGAAACGTAGAACGTGTTTGGAAATGAAAAGAGATACTGGAACGTTGCACGGGCAGAGTTAAGCTGGTTCAGAAACAATTAACAATGAACGCGTTAATGGACTCGCATCATATCGTGATGAAAGATTCACGCCCGTTTCTCATGGCAAATGCGTTAGAGATTAATTATTTCTTCGTGAAAAGATGTCCCATTCGAAGTTTCATAAAATTATTAAGTACTAAATCAGACTTTTTATTTTATAACTTGTTTAGTCGATATCGAGAGGGTGGAGGCAGACTGGCCCTAGCGAGAGGGTGGAGGCAGACTGGCCCTAGCGAGAGGGTGGAGGCAGA